GCCAAAAGGCCTGGATTCTAATCCTTTTCTTTTTGTTTACTAGATGACTGACTATGGGAAAACATCTCCAGCATCATTTTTCTTTTCAGTGAGGTGGAGATAGTAATCCTAAGGACCCATTGACACCACATGTAATGCCTTCAACTGCTGGCTCTGTCTGACATCTCTCTCCTTTCCCCATTGTGTTGGAGCCTGTGTCAAGCTAGCTCGGTGCCCTGTGATTGCACCAAAATTTTAGATCATGCAACTCCTGTACAGAGAATGAGTGATAGTAGCAATTTAAAAGCAGTTCTCTTCTAACAATCGTGTGTGTAGTGAGTGCAGGCAAATGTATTATTCAGAGAAGTAGTTTTGAACTACATGGTCTCCTGAATTATTTTAGATTAAAATTTTTACAGAGTTCAACATCAGAGAAAATGGGAGATCAATTATGTGGGGCTATAGGACTGACTACAGCACCAACTTGGTGCAGAATAGGACCACCCAAGCCATCTCTGCTGGGTGTGAATTATTGTGACTAGATCTTTATGTTCCAATTGCCAATCCATAAACTACAAGAATGGAAACACTAATTTTTATTTATTTTTTAAATTTCTTTATTTTTATTTTTATTTGTTTTAATTAGTAACACTAATTTTTAAATTAAACACTAATGCTAATTTAAAATAAGTAACAACAACAACAACAACCCATACAACACAAAATAATATTCAAGCCAAATAAGCAGAATAGAATAGGAAGGATTAGAAGAAATTAAACTAGATTTAGAAATTTTAAAAGAAATGTAGGCTCATAATTTAAAATTGAACTAAAATTATGATGTAAGATAAAACTAAAAGGTGAGAAAGATAGAAAAATTTAAATGAGTTTAAGAACGCATATACGAGGGTTGGGGATGTAGCTCAGTGGAGGAAGCTTGGCTCGAATGCATGAAGCCCTTTGTTCTATTCCCCAGCACCACATAAAGGAGAATGAAATAAAAAATGTCAACATTTAAAAAGTAAAGTCTTCGTGACTTGAGATAAGTCAGTGCAGTTGAAACACCATGAAATCAATCCCCTTGCAAGAACACTTTTGTCTTAAAGGAAGAGGCCGGGAGCCTTGGACTTGCCACTTGAAATATTCCCTCAGGTATAGGAAGGAGCTGTGGCGTTGTGCTCATTCCCGCCAGTAGAGGGCAGCCGCATAGAAAATCGAGACCTGCTGAGCTCAACTGGAGAAGTGAGAAAGCAGGGGATGGGTGCTCAGAGATTGTTTGCTGATCTGAAAAGACACATTGTTTGCTGATCTGAAAAGACACCGAAGTGTATTAGGAAAGAGGTGTTTTTTTTTTCTTCACTCATTCCCAAACACTGCAGCATCACACGACACGTTCCCTCACTACAGTTTGGCTTTCGTTTTCTGGGTATTTCTTGATCAGGATTCAGTTCCAGTGATTTGCTTTTCCCTATTTTTAGCAACTGGAGACAGATTCTTTTACTTTAGCTGTTGAACTTCTGGCCTCATTTGTCCCCCTCGGCCCCCGTTTACTAAAGTCTGAAATCTTTCCAGTTCTCTAAACACACACACACACACACACACACACACACGTACCTAAGTTCCTCCACCCATGCATACAACCTGTATCCACCCACTCATAGACTCAGAGATATGCACAGAGACACACACCCCAGGTGTCCTCCCATACACATACATGTGCATGCATATACTTACACATGCACACATAGCCTCTTCTACTCAGGCATACCCCTACTCCGCCTCCATTTATAGACTCATAGACACACAAGGAGAATCTAACCCCATCCTGTACATGCATGCCTGTGCGCACACACACATACGCAGGCCCAGATAGGTGCATGGTCCTTTACCTTTCCACTTTCTCTCCTCTGGGTGGCTTCTGCCCACTAGCCTTCCACATCCATCATTACAGTGCTTCCCATCTGCACCACAGATATAGATTAGCATGTTGTAAATTTATTGTTTCTTTTCCAGGGAGATTGTTCAAAAAGCTTTTCCCTTGTCTTCTATAAATAATGAATAATTCCATTAGAAATGTGATGGATGCTGTAACTTTTATGCAGAGTTTGTCAAGCTCCATGTTTCACGCATTTGCTTTCATGACAGCCCCAAGCCATGGCAGGTAGGGAGCTTAGTGGCCTGACATGGCCAAATATCCCTTGCCACATTTCCCAAAGTGTGTTCCTAAGCTCTGAGAGGTAATGCATGCATTTTAAAGAGTGAACTGACTCCTTTAATGCAGAACTCTCCAAAGCATTTCATATGATAATTTGCTCAGGATAATGCAGTATTTCCAAACACATTTGGCTAGGAAACCTTATTTTTTCACTGAAGCATTATATCTCTAAGTTCAGTGTTCCATAGAAAATAATTTAGGAAATAGTACTCTGATGATAGTAGTACATTCTCCTCTGCGATGCAGAGAAACTGTTTAACAATTGACCTTATTGAAAAGTTCAAATTGACCTCAGCATATTTCAAATTGGCACTTCTTTATATTTTTAGTAAAAAAAAAAGTATAATGAAAATGTATCTTGAAAGCCAATATGTGATTCTAAAGTCTCTTGAAACCTTAAAGCTGAACCAATTTTTTTTGTTTTATATTAATATGGTTTTCTGTAATATAGGTCTTTGAAAATCAGTAATCTTTATAAAATAGGAAGTCTAATTATATTTTCATGATAATTAGAATGTCAGTTCTCAATGCATGATTAAGAAAATGTGGTGTGTGTGTATGTGTGAGTGTGGTGTGTCTGTGTGTATGCACGTGTGTGTGTGTGTGTGTGTGTGTTTCTTTATCAACAGAAAAGCAGGAGAAATAATTTAAATGAATCCCCCCTGGGAAGAGATGTTGCAGACCCAGTGCTCGTGCAGATGGAGGGTGTAGCAGGAACACCTGTGCCCCCTTCTTGGGTTTCCTTTGGAACTTTCACCTGTAATGATGGTCCCCAAATATCCACACACTGCACTAAGTGTTCCATGTGATTTCCTTATTTTTTATGTTCTTCTTAGTTACACATGACAGTAGAGTCTATTTCAATATTTTTATGTGAACATGGAATATACCTTATTTTCATTAAGATTCCAGTCTTATGGATATACTCAATGTTGAGAGTCACTGAGTCATATTCAGATATCAACACAGCAAAGTTATTTCAGATTCATACCACTGTCTTCCCTATTCCTGTCCTCCCTCCCTTTCCTTCATTCCCCTATGTCTAATCCACTGAACTTCTACTCCCCCCCCACATCGCCCTGTTGTTGTGGGTTAGTATCCACATATCATAGAGAACATTTGAACTTTGTTGAGATTGGCTTATTTCACTTAGCATTGTAGAGTTTCGTTATCACAGTCTCCAGATCCATCCATTAAATGTCACAAAGTCATTCTTCTTCATGGCTGAGTAATAGTCCATTGTATATATAAACCACATTTTCTTTATCTGATGAGGGACACCTAGATTGGTTCCATAACTTAGCTCTTATGAATTGTACTGCTATAAAACATTGATGTGGCTGTGTTAATATATTATGCTGATTTTAAATCCTTTGGATATATACCAAAGAGTGGGATAACTGGGTCAAATGGTGGTCCCATTCTTAGTTTTTTAGGGAATCTCCTTACTGATTTCCAGAGTGGTTGCACCAATTCTCAGTCCCACCAGCAATATATAAGTGTGCCTTTTTCCTCACATCCTTGCCAACACTTATCATTGCTTGTGTTCTTGATAATTGCTATTATGATTGGAGAGAGGTGAAATTTCAGTGCATCATCATCTGTGCTCTGGTGTGCACCTCCTACAAGCATGAGCCCCCATCTCTCCTGTAGCAGGTCATTTTACATCCATTAACATGTTTGCCTTGAGCAGAAATGGGTCCCCAAAGGAATCTAGCCTTCAGGCAGCATAGCTTTTCTTCTGGGTCACACAGTGTATTTTCACTCACAGTGTCCAGCTCTACTCTTTAGCTGTAAATTCTCCAGGTTCTATGCCTACAGTTATGACTGCATTTTCCATCTTCTTTTTGATTCTTGTCTCTCTGTATACCCTTTGAAACTAATATAATCTGGGTGTTCTTTAGTCTGCTCTTCTTACTTGATGTACTTTACAAGTGAGACATTCCTTATCTTGTGTCCAGATACCCTAACGCTGCCTGAATCTTTCCAACCTTCTGTGAACACCTCTGCCTACAAGTTTCCAGGCTCCTCAGACTTGGCAGAGGCAAAACTGAGCTCACACTTTTGTGTGACTCTTTCCTTTTAGGATCCATCACTATTATCCCCCTTATCTAGGCTCCTTCAGAAAAATGTGAGTCCCTCTATCGTGATACTGTCAGTTAATTGCAATAAATCTAATGCATGTGGACTTAGATACACATCATGAATCATTTTCTATAAGACTAATTTTCACACACAAAAAAATATTTTAGTTCCTAGTGAGGAATTAACCTGCATTGAATATGCCTGTTGGGTGCTATTTGTCTGAGTTTTCAAAGACATCCTTCCATAAGATTGTCTGCTTTTCGTGAGGAGGATGTAATGTATACAACAAGTCATGACTAATGCATACTGACATTACTGATTACATATCATGTTGGAGCTCTAAAATCTTTCCATAATCCCTCTCAACTGAAACGGGTTTTTTTTTTTTTTTCCCTTGAAATTCCTGCACTTAAAAAAAATGTCAAGCCAGTGTCACTATCTCACATGAAAATGGCTCTATTCAGATAGCCTTTGCCAAGAACATATTCTTCAAACAAGATGTGTCTTCAACCAGAAGAGTACATTTGGTGCAAAAACATCGCACAGAAGTTAACACTTTGTCAAGGCCATTTGAGAATTTGCCTCAGTAACCAGTTTTCTCCTCCACAGGGGTTGTCTTATCCTGGGCTTCAGATATTAATGGTTTAGAAAACAGTAAAAAAAAAAAAAAAAAAGGCAGCCATCCCCCTTCGCTGCTCATTTCTTTGTTGTCCTCTTTCAGAATAAGATCATCCTGGACCCCATGACGTTCAGCGAGGCCAGGTTCCGGCCGTCCCTGGAGGAGAGGCTGGAGAGCATTATCAGCGGCGCAGCGCTGATGGCTGACTCCTCCTGCACCCGGGACGACAGGCGCGAGCGCATCGTGGCCGAGTGCAACGCAGTGAGGCAGGCGCTCCAGGACCTGCTCAGCGAGTACATGAATAATGTAAGTCCCGGGCTCTCTTGGTCCTTGTGTCTCCGTGGATTCCCTTCTGCGATCTCTTGGCTGTTAGGAAAAGCATGTGTCGCACCACCCAAAGAGGACAGGTGTTCCTGGAAGAGTGTCAGGTGACTCCAACCAGAGATCCTCTTTGGGGATAGATAGCCTGTGTCCTGATTTCGTTTCAGATTGCATGTTTAATATTGAAAAGCTTGGTGTGGAGACTGGTATTTTGGGAAAACTCAGTTTTTGTTTTTTTTTTTTTACATGAGTGATGACTTCTTGGTCATGTTAGTGGCTGCAGTTTGCTTTTTGGTTGCATTCCAGTTGGTAAAGGTAAAATGATTGATGGAGACAATGGAGATGGAGAGTTCTCTTTCACTACTAAGCACACTGTGAAAGCGAAGGATACCTGTAGATGCGAATCACAGATCCTAAATGGGTTTTTAAATGATTATATGGGATTGGTTAAGGTGGAGAAATTCTAACTGCAGTAAAATCTAGAGAAGTTTTATTGCTTCATTATACAAGGAGGAATTCTCATAAGAGTGAGTTTTTAAGTTTTAAAATCAGTATGAGTAGCATCAGTTGTATGGAGGAACAGGCAATAACCATCCTCTTCTCCAGTTATAAAATGCAACAGTTTTGTGGACCTTAAACTTCAAGATGGAGATAAAATTCATATATATATATTTTTTTTGCTTTGAAAGTCACTATATTATGGTTGTGTTGATTTGCTACGTTTATCTAATTCAGGTAATTCCCAGTACTTTCAATAGTAAATGATCCAGGGCTGGGGTTGTGGCTCAGTGGTAAAGTGCTTGCCTCGCATGTGTGAGGCACTGGGTTCAATTCTCAGCACCGCATATAAATAAATGAATAAAATAAAGATCCCTCAACAACTAAAAAAAATATTTAAAAAATAGTAAATGATCCAGAGCCATGTCCTGGACTCTTTGGATTGTGAGAATTCAGTATAAATTGAAAAAAAATGTAAATCATGTCATATCTGGATGTTATATGTTGAATGAATGTCCTCTGTAGTGGTCAGGTAGGTAAGACATTGAAAATCTGCTCACAGCTTTTGAAATCCTGGCTGGTATTGTTAGAATACCCCGAGGCAGTGCTGAAACAAAGCAGCCCTTCAGCACCTTTAATAGTCCCAAGTAAACATATACAGCTCACGGGTCATACAAGGAGTGAGCATTGGCAGTGACAGTGCTGCTCCTGCCAGACTCTCCAGAGGACTTTATTCAGAAAGCAAAAGGATATTTAATGAGAACACCCTACAAAGTAAAAATCAAAATCTGTTTTCTTCAGATTCTTTGATTTTGGAAGACTTGCCCATTTTCAGCACACAAAGAATAAAGTGTGGATGCATCCTGTGGTACCCAGCTGCTCATGAGGACTTCTCTCTAGGACCCTGGATGGCCAGCACTTTCTATGATTTTGGTCCATGGGTGTGATGTAGGGTTCTGTCAGAAATGTTGATTGCCAATGTCTCCAGCCCTGAGCAAGTCTTTTGAATAGCAGATTTGTCAAAAAAAAAAAAAAGAGTGTTTTTAAAATCTGTGATTCTGTTTCTTGTTTTCAGCAGAAAAGCAAAGGGCTGATTACTTGTCTGTGGAATTTGGTTTTGTGTTACGGCATGCTGGTATTTCTATCAGTGAATGATTATTGACCAAGAAGGAAACAGAGAAAACTACAGAGATGGTGATGGTTAAAATCTCAGTATAAATAATTCAGGGAAAAAGTTTGTTCCTGTGAATGGAAATCACTGACTGTGATTAAAGAAGAGTCGATCAAGATGTGACATGTAATTTTCAGTTCTGTGTCCAGAATACTACTGTCAAGTGGAAGTTTTTTTCTTTCAGTGTGAACTCATACAGATCAGTAGAGCTGATAGATTTTTGTCTTTTATTGACTCCAGGCTCTCATTTTTTGTTCAGAAACTTGTGATACAGGAATCTTTTGTCCTTTTATTAAAATTTGGTTTCCATTTTTACATGATTGCAGAGAATACATAGAATACATGAAGTGCCTGTATTTTAAAACATATAAATTTTATTCATATTGAACTATCAGAATCAAAGCCTGAAACAAACAAACAAACAAAAAACACCTATTTGACTTTTATATTAACCACATAAAATTTAGTTGGCCACAAGACTATTTTGGTGATTTCAAGATAGAAATGGATACAGCTAGACTGCCCTGTCCAGTGCACTTATTCTACCACATAAAATCAATTTATATTTATTTTATTGAAGCATGTATTAATTTTTAAAAATGTACACACATGTATGCCTTGACTGAAAAGTCTCTTGCAATTAACAGCAGCCGGTAAATTACTCAAACATTCCTGGGTATTATATTTCTTTTTCAATTTTGTAAGCTTTGAGGAATGAAGATATTATCAAATTATTACCCCACAGATTTTCATCCTGATGTGCTAGGCAATATTATTAAGATAAAGAAATCATTAAACCAAAAATATTTTGAAATTGGCATAATTGACATTTCTGGCTTCTAAAATTCTCTTTCTCTGTCTATGATGAAAATTTAATTTGTAGTACTCCTTTGTAGCCAAAGCTGCTTTAAAACCCTGTACATGCCCAGTGGCAGGGACTGGAGAGGGAGACTGCAAATAGCTGTGTATGCTGAGAAAGAGAAAGCAATCTTCCTGGGGCCTGGGCTATGTGGTCTGGCCCATGGTGCCTCTGAGCTTAGTAGGATTTCAGCTCCTTGTTAGATATTTCCACAAATGTATATTCAAATGAATGAATACTTGTGTTTATGAATTGAGGAGGTAACAAAAACCGTATACTTAAAAGAAACAGCACTATGAGACAAAAGCCTGGGGAAATAGACACATATGGCAAAAATTGTTGTAGAAATAATTTTAGGAAAGCCCTGAGTGGCTTTAAGTTCTGTCATTTTCAGATGTAACCCAAAGTGAAAAAGTTCTTAGAAATAGTCTGCATTTAAATAGACCATCACTATTGTACACATGTGGAGATGGATGGGTATAGACTCTTTTCAAAAGGACAAGTGGCCTATAAATGTAAATTTGGATTAGCGCCATCAGTGTGGTTTTTGGAGTATTATGCTGAGTAGTATAAATAGTTCCTAATTATAATGATCACATAAACTTTTCTCTGGAGCTTATAATTTTTACACAGATTTGTTTCATTTAAAAAAAAAAGATCTTAGAAGCAACCCCATGATAGGTTGCAAGTGAGCATGGTATTTTATTGATAAAAATTTTGTGATAGATTGAAATTTAGAATATTTTATTCATTCAACAAATGTGCATTAGCTCCTTTGTGGCAGACATTGTTCCCAGTCTTCTGAGGATACAGACATGAGCAAAGCAAAGTTGTTGGCTTTCATGAAGCTTATACTCTTCAAGGAGGAGACAGATGATAAATGTGTAAGTAATCTGAGTAAGCATTATTTCAGTTGGTGTCAAGTGTAAAAGGGAAATAGAGATCCTGGGAGGTAGGAAGCTTGTGGGGCTGCTGTAAGGAGGGACTGACTGGGAAAATGAGAAGATGACACATCAATGGTGAGGGGACAGAGAGCACTTGAGGTGGCAGGAGCTAGGGGGAAGGACTAGGGCCTTTTTCTGAGGACCCAGGGGAGCCAGAATGGCTGTGTGAGTGAGGAGGGGTCAGTAGGAGATAAAGTTTGAGTCAATGAGGTGTCAGTCTGTGCAGGGCTGCATGCACTATTATATGGAACTTGGATTTCATTCTAATGGAATGGGAGACCTTTGGAGAGCATTGGCAGAAAATGCCATGATTCAGGTGTGAAGATCAGGCTGCAAAAGTGCCAGGGTGGAAAGCAAGAGATCAGGCGGTAAAAGTGGAAATCAGGAAGACAGGTGAGGAGTCCCTAGGCCTTGGAATACTTCATGAGACAATGGTCTCCTGTGCCAAGCGGTAGCATGGAAATGGAATGTCTGAATTCTGACTATATTTGTAATAAATATGTGCTTATACAGTAACCAGTGGGAAGAATGTGTGAGTATATGGATATAAAGTAGACACTGGGCATGGTGAATGACAGTTGCAGAGCGGTCAGCTGTAGATAATATGATATCTTCACTTGGTTTTAGTAGCACAGAAAATTCATATTTACTCAGATATAGTAACAATTTATTAATAGCTTACTTGGCAATGGCTGCATACTCTTATGCAGATTATATTTGAAAGGGTATTTAAGTAGAAAAATTTTGTTCCAAAGTTCTAGTACCTCACATTCTTATAAATATAACAGACTGGGCAATATAATGCTTATTCCAAATACTAAACTATAATGCAGAACTATAAGATGAACAATTAATACTTATTCTAGGTACTAAAACTGTAAGTGCAGGACACTAAGAAGCACTAAGCCATTACTTTTTTATGCACAGTTCACTGTTTAGCCTTGATGAGAATGTGATGAACAGATGTGCCTGGACCTTGTTGTGTGTGTGTGGGTGCTATACAACCTGGTTCAATTTTAGATGTTTGGGTTCTCTGTGTAGCTCTAAATGTTTTTAAATAATTAATGGAGAACTATAGTTTTTTTCAAAAATCAGACAATTAGAGTTCAACTGTCTGTACAGTGATGGCAGAGATCCTGTTGACATAAGGTAACAACTTGCTGATCCCTACTAGATTAAAATATAGCAAGTTGCTTTTTTACTCCTATTTTTTTTAAATTGCATATTTTATAAAAATGTTTGGATCCAAATTTTTTAAACTTCTTGAAGCATCTAATGTATCCCCTAACTTGTAAACCACTAATGTACAGGTAGTAAAAGCACACAAAGACACATGTATGTGTGGACATATACACACATTATAAGTGCCTGAGGCATTATTATCATAGCCTTAGCTTTGCAGAGCAACTTAAAGTCCAGGCGGCTCCTGATGGCGCCCGAGGACTGGTGAGCTCTATAAAGTCATCTGTAGCCCAGTTTCCAGGCTCCCAGCACAGCTGTGCTCGGACACATT